TGGTCTTTGTAAAAGCAATCTTTGAAAAGTGGATTTGAATTGTAGGCAGATAGAAGCAAGCTGCAGCGGCCCAGGAACAGCTTGCAGTCAAAAAAATTTTTCTCCCTATGCTTGCTGCATCAATAAAAGTAAATGAAATATATAGAACTGCGATGTCGTCGTTGAGTTCCGAGTGTAATCACAGAGGATATTGGCTCTGACTGCACCAAAACGTTAGGAAGAAGTTAATATCCGCATGAAGTTTTCAAAACTTTTTTTTATTCTGTTTTTTTAAACAAATGTTTCTGTCAAACGTTTTTTTTGTCCTAAATATCAAATTTTCCTCTTGATTCAAGTGCACTCTTACCTCTCTTACCTTCAACAAAGCGAGCTGTAACCGGCCTATCAAAACTTCATGAAATGGGCTGAAATCACGAATTCGGATAAACGATACATCAGTGGAAACAAAGTAGTTATTGGGGTAAAAATAACTGTTGAGAAGGCCATAGGCGGCAGGTTAGTCTCGTAAAGCTTCACAAAATTCTTCTTATTTTGTAGTCATTTTCTTATATAGTCTTTACTGTTATTATTGCAATACCAAATTAATTTTCAGAAGAAATTCTCTCCATACACTAGCAGCTTATTTTTTTTTCATTACCATTTTCTTTTTTTTCCTCAAACGTTTTTGGTGACAAATTTTTTACAAAGACATTTTTCCAGAGTCGCATGACTTCATATAAGCTTCTTTTGTAGAGTACCATCATCGCAAAAACTTGAACATTTATTAAACAGCCTTTTTTACAGAATAAATTTCGTAAGCAATGATGATTTTTTTGATCAATAAACGTAATTTATGATCTCTGAATAGGTATTCTTGGTTTTCAGACTCGCACTTTACACAAGTCTGATTGCAGATTTATCTACAGATCAGGTCCCAGTACACACTATTTCGTATATCACTTACAGTTCTCATCCAAGCTTTTTTTTCAAATAAGCAATTTGCTATGATAAGGTGTATTTCTGCTGACAGCTATAGCTCAGCCAGGAATAAAGCACTTTGCAATAAATTACGGAGCAATTGCGATGAGAATTCCAAATACTGGTTTGGTGGAAAAAGAGGTACTCTCATCGGAGTGTGATATCTATGGATTTCCATAGTTTGATTTCCTTTTTTTTTTTTTTAAAGATTAACTGCTGCAACCTTTAATTTTGTTTTCTCTTATTTTTTAGATATCAAACGAAAACTCTTCTCGCAGGAAATTGGTGGCAAAAACCAAGTGTTCTGACCGCACTGGAGGCATCAAGTACTTTGGTCTTTACGCTTACTGTAACAGTGGAAGTGAATCTGATCAGTGAACTTGCAGTTCCATTATTTAATTCGTGTTTCATCTCGGAAAAGTGATATCGCCCTTTCATTTATTCAGTATGAAATGAAAAACATCTGAGGAGTATTATCTGCATTGATTTCACTTTTCTTTACTCAGCTGTCTATTGGCGTAGTTTGCTAATGACATTTGAAACCGGCACCTTAACCATATTTGTAAAAGTAATACCTTTATCTTGTATCAGTAAATTTTTTAATTCAGTTTAATTTTTGCCCATTCAAAAATTCCGTCTGAACTCAAAAAAAATAGGGATTTTCAAAA